AGTTCATTTTTAATATAAATTACGAAAAAAAAATAAATTTCTTCATGTGATATATTTTTTGTCTCTTGACACTTTTTTTTTTTTTTTTTTTTTTTTTTTTTTTTTTTTTTTTTTTTTTAATTTGACGATCCGAAGTTCACTTATACTTTTTTACGCATGCTTCATGTCTTCACAATTACCAACACTTTTGAATCCGGATTTTCTTGCTTCTGGCTTGAGCCGTGGGTTTTATGAATATGTGAATAAAGTCGGTGAAGCCAGAAGCAAACAGGTTAGAATTTTTTTTCTGGTATCGTCGCTACCAGAATATTATTGAATTCTTTAAATCTGATTTCAAGGAAGAGGAACGAATTGTCACAGAAGAAATTTTCTCCCTCAAAGCTAAATTAAATAATCCCGACATCTCATCTGTAAATTTTTCATTTTAAATTCATCATGATCTGTGATGAACTCCATAGCTGTAACATTATTTGCTTTTGCCTTAAATAAAGACCAAAACTAAGGATTATATAACGAGACTGATCTATTGCGATATGCTTGGTTATAATGTGGAGTTTGGTCACATTCATGCCGTTAAATTAGCTCAAAGTGCCAAGGGATTATGGGACAAACGAGTTGGTAAGTTAATTTCACAACTTGTTTATTAATTTGGTAATTTTTTTATAACATCAAGAAACGGTGTTTAGGTTACCTTGCATGTTCTTTATTCCTACATGAGACACACGAGCTTAGTATAATGCTGATAAACACGTTACTAAAGGTTTTTATCTTTCCTTGTTCTGTGAAGTTTTTTTTTAAAAGTCAATTTATAACATCGTCATTAAATTATCAGGATTTGAAAAGCAGTAATCATCTCGAAGTATATTCAGCCCTGTCGGCTCTATGCCATGTTCTAAATCCGGACATGATACCAGCAGTGCTTAAGCATGTGGAAGAAAAATTATCACATCCGAAGTAAAATCTCACCTCTCGTAATATATAATGCTATTTATATCTTTGCATTTGCAATTAATTCACCATTTCGATGCTTTTTTGATAAGAGGCATAGTTAGAAAGAAAGCGATCATGGTTTTTCACAGATTATTTTACAATGCCCCTGATTTGATGACACATCTAGACGAAAGGTTTCGCCAGATATTGTCCGATAGAGATCCAGAAGTGCTAGGCGTGATATTATGTCTTTTTTTGGATTTTGTCAAGGTATTTTTTATTGTCAAAGGGGAAGAGATTGGTGCATTTTTTTTTCGAAAAAGTATTATTTATAATTATAAATTCTTGATTTAAGGCTGACCCAAATAAATATAAAGATCTTGTGCCAGTTTTGGCAAACATTTTGGAACAAGTTCTTGACAAATGGTTGCCCCGAAGTTACGACTATCACGGTGTGCCTGCACCGTGGATACAGTTAAAAATAATAGAAATCATGGGCTTACTGGCTAAGGATGATGAAAAGTAAACAACAGATTAAAATTTTATATATATTTTTTTTCAACTTTCTTATTGTACATTTTATAGGATAAGCCTGGAAGTTGGACCCCATATTGTCCATACACTTAAAAAAGCTGAAAATGGAGTAGATGCTGCATTTGGTTTGTCGGTTACTTTTTTTTGAATGTCGTTTCTACTCGAGATTTATCAGGATTTTTTTTTTTTTTTACTTAGCAATAATATTTGAATGTATAAGATCTATATCACTGCTACATCCACAAGCCTTATCAAAAATAGTTAACAAATCACCGCATATTAATCCACTTAACGTGATAACCAGATTTTTGAAGTCTCATAACCATAATCTTAAGTATTTGGGTCTGATTGCATTATCGGAGGTGGATACAATCTGGTGGGCAGAAGGCCAATGGTGGGGTGAAGATCAAATGAATGTGATTGTGGAATGTTTGGAAGAGAAGGATGATACTTTGAAAAGGAAGGTTTGTATTATATATATTTTTTGGCCTGCTCCTCTTTGTTCTGGTGCCAGAGTTTCTTTAAGTAACACATGCAAATGCTATCGTAGACACTAGATCTGCTCTACAAGATGGTTAATCCGCAAAATGTTGTCGTCATTGTGGAAAATATGATTAATGCTTTGCGCAGCACGTCATCAACTGATGAATTATCGCGAAAATTACTAGTTAATAGGATTGTCGAAGTATCTGGGAGATATCCTTTCTTATTTCCACGTATTTTCTCTTTATTCCTCGAGTAATTCATCTATTGTTGTTCTTAACATTACATGGTTTCATATGTATTGTTTACACATTTTATCAAAGTTCTGAATGGCTGTTGAAAACTGTGATTACCGCATTTGGAATAGCTGGCGATTTGATAGAGGAAGAAACACTTGATTATGCGTTTCTTCTTATTTATAAGAGTAAGAAATAAATTTGGGTTCTTCTGACAAATAAGATATGAACTCATACAAATTATCTTGCAGATCCTGATGATTACAAAAATGGCGAGGAAATGCGCCGATTCACGATATCAGAAATGACAAAAGTGTTGGAGAGTAATAATTCAGGCAACTGCGCTGATAGCCTACTGTTGCTGACTCTTAGGGTTAGTATTTTTCTATAATGTGAATTCGGATTTAGTTTTTTTTTTCTCGTAATACGCCGCGTCTAAGAAAGATTTCGGCAAAAAAATTTTATTTTCGGATGGAACTTAGTTGTTAGGTGAATTTTCTGATTGCTGTGATGCTCAAGAGAAAATTATGGAGAAGATATGTAGGCTTCTTGTAAGGGAAAATGGTAAGCACAAAACTTAAACTACGTAATGCATCGATTGATTACTGTTTTTTAAATATATGTATATGTACTTATATAAATATATTTGAAGTTAACCGAGAAGTCCAGTCGCAAATAATTACAACATTATTAAAATTTGTTTCAAATTTAAAACATTGTCCTGAACATGTGTTAGAAGCTGTCAACAAATGCATCCAATCACCTTTCTGCGACATAAAACAGGCTTGTCACTTCAAATGCATTTGTTAATAAACGTGTTTTTGATTTTGATTAACATTTTTTTAAACAATTTCAGAGGTGCCGAGAATTTATCGTCTTATCAACAGACTTAAACTTGTTGAATAATATCATCGAGAAGTCCGCCATGGAAGTTGATCTTGTGGTGTGTAAATTAGTCATCTCGGTTACATAATTTGATTTTAACACAGTTCTTATCTCAATTCCCAAGGCAGATGAATCGTTATCATTTTTAAATGACTTCGTCGAAAATGCTCTGAAGAATGGAGCGAAACCATATAATCCTATACCAATCGTTCACGAAAAACCAAAAACAAGTAAGATTTGACTTGATAATTGATTAAAAATTTTCGATTTTTGCTTTGTTTGCATCTTTAAGCCCATAATTTTCTCCTTAACAGTAACAGAAATAAGATATGAGGCTTATGAGAAACCTGATCTTAAATATTCTACAAAATCATTACCAATTGACCATCCACATTACGCAGATACAAGATTGTTTCAAGCTGAGAAGAATGCATTGTCTTCTGGTAGTGGTTGGCCTGCTGGCTCTACAATGACTCCCGGTCAATTAGCTTGGCTAGGTGTTACTCATGACCCCGCAAATTCGCCGAGCATTTCTCAAGACCATTCTTATGTCCACAGTAAAAAGATACGCTCGTATGAGCATTCAGTTAGTGGCTCACAAGAGAATTTGCTCGAATATGATGATAGTTATGATGTCAGGTAGATTGAAAAAAATGGACTTTTTTTTTAAAAAAATCTTTTTCCTTCTCTAATGTGCTACAAATTGATTTTATTTGATTGGTATGAGGCAATCAATGGTTTCACCCCGTCCAAAATTGTTTCTGACCACAAAATCTCAAAATTGGAGTCGAGCAGGGTACAAAGTAAATCAAGAAACTTCAAAGTAAAATGACAGCAATCGTATACAATGCATTCTTTGTATATTAAATAAATATTTGGTGATTAATTGTTTCACAAAATCTTATAGAAACTCTCCAAATTCATTAGTCAGTTCTAATGATAGGTAGGCATTTATGTCAGTTGTTTGTGGATTTGTGTTAATATAAATAACTGCATTATGCTGATTTTGAAATAGTCCAATATCTCCAAGTAATGCTCATCCTTTTTTAAGAACATCCAACAAGGTAATTTTTGCATCGTGCAGATGAATATTGTGTTTCACCTTTATAATTCTTCGGTCAATTAATTCTCAGGCGGCAGTCACAACCGCAGTGACGACAAAGACTATAATGTCACCGGAGAAAGAGCGATTAGCTTCAGCTTTGTTCAGTGGTGTTGGAAGTTCATCGGTTCTCGGTGTATCTTCATCTTTGACTTTTTCAGGAAACCATAACAATCCTACTTCGCATAGAAAAAGTTTGGTAAATTAACTTATTTAAATATTATTAATATTATTAATTATTTTTTGTTTTGGAAATATATTTACTAAAATTGGGTTAGCCTTCAGCACATACACATAAACATACTGTTTCAGACATTTATGACCTGTCCCTTTTACAGATCCATGGTAAGAATGTTATTAGACAATACATTTGAGTTTTAAAGGTCATCAACAATTCTCAATTATATATTTATATATTTTTTATGCCAATGATTATATATATTATAAGGAAATATGTTGAATAACTTGAAGCCAGTACGAATGACCACCGAGGAGTTTGCTGGGTTTTGGACAAAAATGAAATACGAAAGAAAAGAAGAAGTGGTTGGGGAGTTTGCGATAGATGATATCGAAGTTGTTAAACAAAGACTGGAGGGCGGTTTAAACAGCGATGTATTCGAAGATCATGTCAATGCTGCTGAATTACATGGCAAATTTCATATTGTCGAGATTAAAGGTTGGTGTTCTCTTCTAGCCCATCATCTCGGCTATTATTATTTTTTTAATCAAATTGTCTTATATAATTTAGGAAAAGAAGCAATAGCAGCCTCATATTACACTAACCCGTCGATTCACAACACTTCATTTGTGATGTCAGATAACAATCTGATTTTATTGCATTTTAGACTGCAAACATCTTCTTGTGCTTACACAATTAAAACTAATCTGGAATTTATGGTTGATAGTATTACTAAAGAGCTGAAATCATATTTCACATGGAATGAAAAGTAATTATTTATATAATTAATATCAATATATTAATAATTATATTTAAGATAGAAGATATTATGTTTTAAATATCCAGAATTGCCAGGATTATAGTTTGCCAATAAGGTTTCGGAAATTACTCTGGTGGAAAAAACTTTTAAAAATATAATACTTGTCATATTATGTTATAATTTATTGTTGTATTTTTATTATAACATTTTTATTGTAATATTTTTCATTAAATTGTTTAAAAGTCAAAGAGGCGTAGATATTTATACTCGTTATCTTGTTTAGGTATTAAAGTTAAGTGTTAAAATAGAAATAAAATAGGTATTTTATTATTTTTTTTTTTTATATAGAAAAAATCAAATACAGTTAATTGAAAATTTGACAAGTTTCAATATATTATAACAAACTAGTAATATTTTTATATTATATTTTAAAAGATTCGAATTTAGTTATTTTTAGTAAGATTATAATTAAATAAAAAATTTTTTATTATTTAAAGTAAATATCAAATAAATTAATAATTAAATGTGTAAAAAAAAAAACAGGTTATAATAATAAAAACAAAAAAAACTAATCTTGCTAATATATGTATATAATAAAATTAAATTTTAAGAAACTTCAAAAAGAAGAATTTAATATAATTATTATATTTTTAATGGTAATTGGTAAAACAAATTATGATAAAGTTATTATATATAATAAGATCAATAATTTTATTATATATATAATATATATAATATAGTATATTTAATTAATAAAAAATATTAGAGGAATAAAAAAACTCTTTCCGCTGATCCTAAATTTCCTAAAAAATTTCCTTTTTTGGCAATTTTCTTGGAAAAACCAGA